TGTTTTTTAATTAAAAAGATAACTTCTGTTTAGTTAAGCTTTAAAAGCATAAATTCAGATCATCGAATTGGTCTAGTTCTATTTACCATTATTAAGCCCTGGTGCAGGTACGTTCCATTGGTATCAGCATTGACTTCCGTATCATCGAGACTCATAGCATAGATATTCCCTTAGCACTGACATCCTTGGTATCGATATCCGCTACACTGATATTCTTAGCATTGACTCTCTTAACATTGATACTCCTCGATATCCCTAGCATTTATAAATATCCGTATAGTTTCGATATTCGAAATGACAGATCCAAATGGCTGAAGACAAACTATACTTTAGATACAGTTTTTATGTGTGTTTAGTAAGACTTTTCGCCACTTTCGATCAATTTTTTGAGTACAATTTTTATGTATTCGAAAGAGGGTGAGGGGAGAGTTTGGGTGTCTCCTTCCCGAAGCCAGAAATGTTTTTCAATACGGATACCATTTTTTATTGTTCATTTACTTTCAGAAAGTCATTTCAAGCATTTAATATTGCTTGATTGTTATACAATGTGTAGTTTCCTTTTCAAGACTTCGCTCAAATGAGACGTCACCATATACTGTGGATCACTAAATTTTCGCGACACTTTATTTTCGCGAGATAGTCAATGTCTCTTTATAAGCGAGACAAAATTTTCACAAATAGTGGTTATTCCTCTATATAATCATAAGGATTGCTATTGTACGAGAGAATGAAATTTTCGCGAGCACATTGTCTCGCGTAAATACGCGAAAATAAAGTTCTCGCGAATAAAAGGTGATTTACAGTATACCAGTGAAGGGCTTTTATTCGGCTTACAGGGGTTTTTTTTTTTTTGCCCAAAAAGGGGGATGCTGTCGCACCCAACACACGTCCCTAGAGGGCTTACAAGTAAACGACCCAGCAGAGGCAAGAGGTGTTCATGTGTTGCGAGTGTTTTTGATCAAGTTCAAGTTCAGTTTATTCACCCAAACCAAAATATTGGTACATTAATAACATATATACATTATATACAAAGCTGGTCAGAGGTACATGTACAAAACAAAAAAAAAATCTGACAGAAAATTTAAAAAGTAAATAGATAAAAGAGGGGAAAATATATCAAGGAGGACAGAGGGCATCATTAATTTTTAGGATAAACATACATCGTTTTTTAAGCATTCTTTCGTTTTGAGTTGACATTAGTTCCACGAATTTAATAACATTCGGTCTTTGGGAAAAATAATTGCCCAAGTAATTTTTTCTTACATTAGCTAAAAGTTTTACATTCTAAGATATAATGAAATTCATCAGCAGTTTGAGTATTATTACAAAGTGTACATATTCTATCACACAGTGGTATACCATACCATCTTCCAGTCTGAACATCTCTTGATGATATTCCAATCAAATATGAGAGTATTTTTCCCATTGTGAATGAAACGAGCTGATTTATCATTTATTAACTATATACTGATAGAAGAAGGGTATGCAGTGAAAGTATAGAAAACGGAGTTTGTGGAGGTGCTTTTCTGAGTGCTGAGAATATCAGACAATGTAAAACTTTTTTGTAATTAATATTTTTCATACACACAGTATTAAATACTGAAAATAAGTCATACGTTTCATTGTATTTGGTTAGGAAAAGCAGCGATACTATATATAGTAATTATCTCATTCCAAATAATTTTAATGTATTGTTGATAATTAAAATTCTGTCATCTGTTCTATAGTGGTATTGGTCGCTTGTTTTATGCTCTGGCATTTATTATGCGATCATTCACTGTTTTGGAAATATTCCATCTATCTATTTAAAAACAGAAAAACAAGAGATTTTTTTAAAAAATTTTATTATATTTATTTTCTTTGGTATAATATCTCTGTTGCAAAAAAAATCTATTATATATGCATTTTTTGAGATAGAACGCTTGAAAAATAAAAATCTTACCAACCAGAAGCTGCAAAAATAGGTTTAAAAGCCATTCAATAACTAATTCAGACAACAATACATTTAATGCATAAATAAATTCAAAAACGAGTAATTCAAAATACTCTCAAAGACGAAAAATGAAATAATTCAGTCAGGAAGGAGTAGTGAGATAATTCAGTCAAGGACGACAAATGAGATAAATCAGTCAAGGACGACTAATGAGATAATTTAGTGAAGGGCGACTAATGAGATAATTCAGCCAAGGACGACTAATGAGACAATTCATCCAAGGGCGACTAATGAGATAATTCAGCTAAGGACGACTAGTGAGATAATTCAGTCAAGGACGACTAACGAGATAATTCAGACAAGGACGACTAACGAGATAAGCAATCAAGGAGATGGAACGAGATAATTCAGTCAAGGACAAATAACAAGATAATTCACTCAAGGACGACTAATGAGACATTTCACTCAGGGACAAGTAAGAATAAAATTCAGGCAAGGAAAAGTGATCAGATAAAGTCGAAGACGAGTAATGAAATAATTCAGAGTTATGAGATAATTCAGACAAGGACGAGAGTTGAGATAATTTAGTCAAGGAAGAGAGTTAAAATAATTTAGAGACGAGAGCTGAGATAATTAGAGAGAATTAACTAGAGAATGGAAAAATGAGATAACAGAGTGACGAAAGAGTAATGAGATAATTCAATCAAAGGTGAGTGATGCAATAATTAGATCAAGGACGAGAATATAAAGGTAACTCATTAGAAGACGAGAATGACGACATGATTCAAGAAGGAATAATGAGATAATTCAACAAAGGACAGTGATGAAAAAATTAGGTGAAGGACAAGTAATAATTCAGTGAAGGAAAATATAGAAAATCCATTCTAAGACAAGAAATGAGATAATTCAGTCAAGGACGAGTAATGAGATAATTCAGTCAAGGACGTGGAAAGAGATAATTCAATTAAGGATGTGTAATGAGATAATTCAATCAAGGAGTGTATTGAGATAATTCAGTCAAGGGCGTGGAATGAGATAATTCAGTAAAGGACAAGTGAGGAGATAATTCAGTCAAGGGCGAGTGATGAATTAATTCAAAAAGGAAACACGAGATAATTCATTCAAGGACGAGTGGTGACATAATTCTTGAAATCGTTATGAGATAATTTAGCCAAAGATAAGTGAAGAGATAATTAAGTCAAGGACGAGTAATGATATTATAGAATGAAGGAAAAGGAATGAGATAATTCAGTGAAGGACATGCGATAAGATAATTTAGACAAGGACAAGTGATGAGATAATTTAGGTAGGGTTAAGTGAATAAAATAATTCAGTCAAGGACATTTGATGAGATGATTCATTCTAGGTTAATTAATGAGCTAAGATGTAAAAAGTTAATTAATGTTTGGTTTTTGTTTGATCTGAGAACCCATTAGTATCAACAAAAATAAAATATCATGCTAAATACGTTAAGGTCCTTCGAGGAAGTGAAACAAAAATTCCATTATAGGAGAAATAATAAACAAGCAATATTGGTCACCTTCTGAGAAAATATGGACTCCATATTGTGCGAGGCCACTTCCGGCATGTATGAAGTATCGTTATTTAAACAAATTATGTCCTAACATTTACTTTAAAAATCAGTGGTTTACAAGAGGATTCATATTTTAGAATATATACTGTTTTGCTTTGATTAATAAACATTTCTGAAGTGAAGCTCCCTGAAAATTACTTTGTGCCAGCGCAACATAATTGAAAAGTTTTGCGCAATTTAATTCGGTGGAAATGTATTTTCTGAAAAGAAACCACATTTTGTAAGGTTTTTAAGCAGTAATTGTTGTTCATTTATATCCCTTAATAATTAAGACGCAAAACCTGGAGTATATGGTCTCCTATAAGCCTCCGGATTAACAATACCCATTTTGTCCTTGATATTCCATATCGCTACCGGACAAGACGTCAAACTGTGCAAAGCGTGAAAATAATCAATTACAGTTTGTGTTGACACAAAAACCAGCCGCCTGAGACTAATCTAACATATATCCATCAATGTTGAAACGATCAACAATCCCCCAAAAGACAACAAGCTGCGAGTGTTTGAGCTACCACCTCTAATAAGCGATTCCGTCCTCTATCTCGTGTTTGACGTATCAGGGTCACTAGTAATACCAACACTTCGCTTTAATTCCTTGCTTTGCTCTCCGCGTCAGACGACTTGCGACATTTGTAGAGGTTTGTAAATATAGGGAACATTTGTGGGATTTTTTGGAGTAATTTGGGAGAGAAGTGTTTTCACCTTCGCCTCCGATAACCTCTATCTTCTTGCACATGCAATGGCCCATGTCATACGAGCAGCTCGCTTCAACACCTCGTCTTGGGGAGAAAAAAGTCGGTTGGCGGTTGTGATAGATGGAAGGTGTCAAAAAGACAACCTGTACATTTTTGTCATGGAATATGGCATTGAAAAATTTGTGTAATATTAAAAATATTTTTCATAACAATATCCCAGAATAGGTGCCATTTTCTGACCATTTTAATTGCGATATGACATTTTCCACCGACTCTGTGAAGGAAAGATTCATTGCCAACTCAATCATTCTTTTAAAGTTAGTATATTTCACGAAAAAATTAATCTTTTTTAATTTCATCTGTAAAAAACATGATAGAATAAATAAAAAAGCTATAAAGTGATCACGATTTTCGGCTCTCTGCTTACATATGCACATTGATTAAAAAAAATCTTTTAATTTTTGTGCTCTTTCTGTACTTCGAATCTGCAGATTTTCCCTTAACAAGAGGAGACATCGCTTTTTGCAGCATTTAAATCTTCATTTAGTGTTTAAAAAAGGCAATCTCTCCTTTAAAACTGATTAAAACGAAGAATTCAACACTGGTCTTCCTTTGACAATCCAGTTTCCTTTGCCTCCTGCAGGGCCAGAGACAAAACGAAGCAATGATGCTATCATAGCACACGATGGATTATGAAAGAAAAGGTATTTAGTTGGGATTGTATGGTAAATATTTTTCCCATTGATAAAACTTCACCAAAAGAATTCACAAGGGGCGGAGTATGAATGAATTATCCATATTCTTTTAAACTTTTTTCATTGGTGGGTCTTTCGTATAATGTTGTATATATAACCTAAGCAGGCTGTATTTTTGGACATGGATCGTTGCTTTATTGTAGTACTAGCGCTCTGCGCATCGGTTGAATTCACCATTTGACAGAGGCACATACATTTAAATGTAGTATTATGTATATATGAATGTCGTCAGCAGACAGGTGTAGTGATTTTTAAAGTGACAGTTCAGGTATCATCATGGATCAGGAACCCTGCGACAACAGCACGACAAACAACGAAAATAATAATCATTGTGAAAATTGTAGCAAAACACATGAAACAAGTTCCTCAACATGTGAACAGTTCAATAAAATGGATGTAGAACGTGAGGAAGCTTGCGGTCTTCGTCGATCTACAAGGAAAAAGAAAAAACCGAATGATGAAGATGATACTTCTGTGGAATATAATCTGAGGGACATTACACTTATCAATAGAGTGCAAAGTGAACGCAAACGACGCGAGCCTAGGCAGCCGAAGCCAAAAGCCAAACCTCCACCGCTCAGCAAATACCGACGAAGAGCAGCAAACGCACGCGAGAGAGGTCGGATGGTGGAGATCAATGAAGCTTTCGAGGATCTTCGGAAAGCATTGCCCAACATAGAAGCTGGGAGATCATCGAAGCTGACAAAAATCACTACGCTCAGATTAGCAATGAACTACATTTCTGCTCTCAGACAAACTTTGGGTTTTGAAGATGATCTGAACTCGGATGCATCTTCCCTTCGATCTTCCAGCTTATCTTCCTCTGGGGATGAACAGTGCTTAAGCCCGTCTGATGGTGAGCTCATTTCGCCAGACGAGGCTGATATATTAGGGGACGAAAATGCAGAAGACATTCTTGCAGCTAATATTGACCTTGTTCAGTTAGATCTGGATGCAACATCAGATCTTCTGCTAACGTAAACATAGTGATACAAATGAGGACCAATAATTCTCGAACAAGCCTCGATCTCAGAACAATGCTCAGATTCCATTAATGTGAGTGAAACTGAACAAGACACTCTTAAAAGTGCTCAAACTTGGCAGGTATATGTGTGAACCAAAAATCATTCATCATCTGCAGATTTTGTGAGATTTTAAAATTTCATGTACAATTCATCGAAAAAGCGTTGAAATATACTCAAGTGTTCTGAGTCCCTTGGGGACGAACTGCCGGGACCCCCATTCCGAGAGATTATAAGAATTCACGATGTTCGAACACCCTCAAGGGCCCCTTGTGTATATTGTGATATGGCATGTCTCAAGACAAGGTTTAATTTTTTATGACTAAATTTATTTACATTGATTTACATTTTAAATGATCACGAATGATGTGACAGTCATAAATCCGGACAACATCGGAGTGTAAATGTGAAGATTCGGGTCAGTTCTCTGTTTTATACTACTCTACCTCAGGAATGTATTAACTAAGACGTTTTCTTGACTTGGAAATGAAAATCTTGATGACTTCAAGAGGCTTGCATGTTAGTGCACCGCTTCTGAAAGCCATTATTGGACTAATGGGGATTACGATCATGAATGGACCGTAAACCAGTGAATGATCTTTATTTAAAAGCAGAACAGTTTTACTTTCAATGTTAAACAATATTTTTGTAGCTATTTATATATTTCTCTCTTTATATAGACTTAATGCAAAGGAGAGAAATAGTACAGATGTACCATGCTTTGTAGCAAAGGTACCGTTTTATAAACATGAAAGATTTATTGATGTTTCAAAGAAAGTGTTTTGTTTGTTTCTTGAAAATCTTCAAAACAATATTTATTCGATTACATTAAGCTCGTTTGAATGCAAAGGATAGGTACAGGATATATTTTATCCAAACAGTCAGGGACAGATTTAAAAAGACCGGGGTCATTAACAAACTGGCGCGTCTTAAACCCTGAGTAAATACCTGGTCTTGGAGAACTTGCTACAAGAGAGATCCCCTTAATAACATCTTTGACCTAGTAATTACAAAAGCTTGTCCCATGTTCGCCGGGTAACCTACTTCTTTTGACAGACCCCTCATTGACCAGGCCTGTCTACTTGTAATCATTGCCTATTGTGGGTATTCCAGTTTTGCAACATTAAAACACAATTTGTGTATTGTCCACCGACGATACACAAATATTTTTCTCTCTGGCTAGAGGGAGGAATCACCCCTTTTCCATATCTATGTGTCAAAAGTGCAAGATAGTTTTTCTTGACACGGATTTACCGATATAATATTTAGATAGCGTTTCTTATACTTCAAAAGAATCTTCATACTTTGGGCCTTATAGGAAAGTATTAGAGAATATATAGGCACCTATAGATATTCACGCCTGATTTAGATTTAGTCTCAGTATCCGATTTTACGAAAATAAACCACTAAGTGGTCTTTTTAATTAATCAATTTGGAATGCCGTTTAAAAAATCTGTCATAAAATATCTCCATTAAAGTACATAATATTCATAGGGTCAATAGAAAATGTATCTAAAAACATATTTTAATGTCTATATAATTATGTAAGTTAGTAGAACAATTTAAATTTAGGTGACATTTTATATAATTTATGTGACCTGCTTTTCATAACTAAGTACATGTCTATCCCATTCCTGAACGTATATATCGTATGATAAATTTTTGATTTGACTTTCAAATAAGAAGAAAAGATGTAAACCTGTCACATAGATCTGTCCATTTGATACCCTCTTATATTGGTCCCTCCCTTTATTAATTTATCGAGAGTTTGTACTAATGCCAAGCATAAATCTGATGACTTAACACAAATCACCGAATTTCTGTCTTTCTATTACGCATAAGGACTAGCTGGTACCGATTGAAAATCAAATTTATTAAAAACAAAATTTTCCTTATTTGGATAAAATAACAAATGTGTAATTCTTATTAGTCTACAATATCACACGCTGATGATGAATTAAGTAAAAGAATTTTTAGCGGGAAAATTATGACGGAAAAGCAATTTTGTATACGGTGCAGACGATAAATAATAGAGTGTTTTTTTTTTTTTACTCCGCACAGAGTTTGCGTGTAGATAATCAGTATTTATACATCTGAGATGGATTAGAATCAAGTTCACTTCGGCATGAACAATCGAGGGAATAGGGCCACTTCATCACCGCCTCATTATATTACCGACCGGAATCCCCCCAATACGTAGGGTGCGCCTATTCATCTCTATCTAAATCTAGCCGATAAATAAAATAGGCCATGAACCGTGAATATTGTCTTTTTAATTTGAAAACGACCTTGTAATCCATTAAGCGGCTTCTCTTCAATTACAGTTTTTAATCATTCAGCGAGATACTCTCAAATCTCGCGGCATGCAACATGCCAGAGCCGTTCAACAGGGTTGGGTTTCTCGATATGTCTTTTTCCTTCATCCATTTAAATAATTGAATATGGGAAAGTCTATAAGATCTCCGCACTGCTTCCACACTCGGGTGCTAAGTTTTATCCTAGACCGTCATGCAATATATGCAGACAATCTGAAGACGTCTCTTTTGTTGTAAGTTTAATTAAATTTCATCACTGTCACAGCGTCGCTCAACGTCAGAAGTTACAGGATATCGATTTACATATAAAATAAGTAAACTCGTCTAAAATATACTATATATGCACCATTCTTTTAAAGTTTGACACTATCTTAAGTGAATCGTTCTTGACACAATTTTTACCTGTTACCTTGCAAGGAAATTTACTACCAAATTTAAGCTGAAAATAGAGCCAAGAATCTCCCTGAAAGATCGAACAAGACTTACCGAGTAAAAATCTCTGTTTGATATATATTCAGTCTTTAATTTCAGTACTTTTATGAAAATAGAAAGATAGCAGGAAGAATTGCAGGAAGAATCTTAAAAACTTTTTGCACGAAGATTCGCATTTTGGACTTGAACTTAACATGCAAAACAAATACGCAGATGAGCAACGTATACATTTACATTGTATACACACACTAGAGTCCTTCAGTGCAAATGCCTTCCTAGCCATACTTATCTCTATAGAATATATTGACATAAAATTTTGAAACGCTTCCTTAAAAGAGAGTGTCGTGTTTGTTCAGTTCGAATTGTGTGATCTTTCCACGCTTTTCAAGTTTGTTAACATCTAATTATTGAAAACGGACAACACTCAGCAAATTTCTCTTTTTAAATTGAAGAACTTTATCACTGTTTAAAGGCGATTTTAATTTTATTTTTAAAAAATAATAGTCAGTTACTGAGCTATCGCAAAATGTTCGGACAATCTAAGTCACGTGACTAACCCTGCTAAACGCTTAGATGATCAAGATGTAAAATCTTTTGGCTAATCACAACTCTGTGTTATCTTCTTACAGCTCATAAAAAAAGAAGCAAAATAATAGTAAATTTCCCCTTCCCTTATTTATGCAAAGAAGCGACATTTTTCCGTGGATGTCTGCACTGTCTATGAAGGACTCCGGATGACGTTTATAGATTTGGGCCATCCGTACAACAGGTGGAGCTTGATAAATTGTCATCTGTGAACTTTTATGAACTGTTTCATTTGTTTTCCCACTTTTAAAATCTGCTAATTAGCATAATGGTCGGCAGAATCGGTAGTAATTTTTTTTTTACAATCTGGGAAAGAAAGTATGCAAATAGTCTCGTGAGCATTTAAAATTTCAACATTTTTGTACGACAAATTTCAGAGGCTTTAATCACCTGTATGTATATTTCTGCATAACATATCAATCATTGCAATTAAGCGTATCAATTGCTGCGAGTTCAAATGCTGGCTGAGTCAAGTCTACGGGGAGAATGAGATATATAGTTATAATGAGCATGTATGATGTAATATATCTGCGAGTAAAACATTTTGTAACCACAGAATTGCATTAGGGTTGTAATGAGAAGAGACCACAAACAAGCAACGACTATTAAGACCATATGACGTCATTTTCGACATACTTTTACGAGGAATGTTGTCTCGTCGGCGAAGAGGAACGATCTTTAACAAGGATGCATTGTGAAATTCTTAAAGTTATTTTACTCCGAGTTCTATTTCAGGACATTTTTTTTGTCTCTTTCTCGACTTCTCATACAAAACCTCATTGATGTCCGGGAATATACACACACTAGTTCTAGTAGATATACTGTAGTAAATACAACCTTCACGGCGTCAAAGGATGACACATAAATTTCCAACATGAAAGAAGGATTAAGATAATAATTATGGAGGAAAGAAAGTTAATGTTCTGATGAAACACTTATAATTTAATTTTAAAACAGCTCCTCTTTGAAGTAAAAATCGTCTTGTTAGAAGAGAGTTACAGATAGGTGAATTTTATCACACCTAAAAAACATATATTCAAGATATGCTTTTAATTATAAGGATCATTAAAGTAATAAATCTTTACAAATGTATTTCTTAATCTATCGAATTAAAATTTTTGGAATTCATTATAGATCCTTCCTTCCTATAAGATAAACTTTTATCAAGAATGCAGTTGAAGGGTGTGACAGCCCAGTGATAAAAATTTGCATTACAGGTCATACTGGAATAAACACCTGTGTTTTTATACCTGGTCGATTTAAAACCAAAACTTCTGTTGCATCTTCTTAATTGGATCAAGTTACCATTGGACAAAATAGCATTGTTAAAAAGCTAAGACAGTTTAATTACAAAAACACCTAAAATGCAAATTCATAATAATTGTTCAGGAGTCTAAATATACACCAGGAAATTCATAAGCATGCAATTCACTGCAATGAAATTCTAAAATTGCAGAATATTTACTTAAGTTTTCCTTTGTTTTGTTAAATCACTGGTTTCATAAAAATAGTACCCAGTTTTCATAAAGCAAACAACGTTTAAATCAAACACATACATAAACAAACTAAATATTTGCTTCCACCTAAGGAAAAAAGAGAGTGGAAGATCTGAAAAAAATATGCAGATGGAGAAAGACAACAACAGTCAATCTTGACCTTTCAGCTTTTGGTCTTAAGGTCAAAAATGGTCTTTTTAAGTTAAAGAAATTCATTTCTTTCATTGCAAAAACTTAGAGAGAACTAAACTGACCATCTGAAAACTATGTATGCAATATATAAATATCTTACATTGGTCGTTGACCTTTTCACCTCAAAATCAATAGGGGTCTTTTTTAAGTCATATTGACTGAAGGTATAAAAATTCATTGCAAAATTTCAAAGAGAAATAGAGTTATCAACAGGTAACCATTTTATGCAAGACATGATTTTACCTTGACCTTTTGACCTAAAAACAAAAGGGGTCTTCCTTAAGTCATTGGGAGTTATGACATAAAATTTCATAGAAAATTAAAGCTTAAGGAAAATAAAATAATAAGTAAAATATCATCTGAAAACATTTTTTCGACATTATATGAATTTCTGATCTTGACCTTTGACCTCAAAATTAATAGGGGTCTTCTTTAAGTCAGTAGGAGTTATAATATATAACTTCATTGAAACAGATCAAAGAGAACTACATGTATAGTTATCATCTGGAACCCATTTTTGTTAATATATAAATTTCCGACTGTGACCTTCGACCCTTTGTCCTCAAAATCAAAAGGGGTCTTCCTAAGGCCATAGGGAATTTTTATATAAAATATCATTGCAAAATCTCAAAGGCTTTTTAAGATATAGTCCGGAAACGAAAGTGTTAAACACACACAGAATGTATCAATTTTTTACCTTGACCTTTGACCTTTTACCTCAAAAATCATAATTTCATAAATATTTCCTAGATTAACT